ACAGGAGAGCGGGGAGGGGGGGGAGGGATTACTCATAGTCGTGCATGCCGTGTAGTGTAGTAGTTAGAACATTGACCTCGCATCCCTACAAAGCCGGGACGGAGCACGCCGGGTTCTCACCGGACCAGGCTCTCACATCACCAAGCGCGAAGCGCCGTGAGATATTCGGCGAGTCGCATGAAGGGTGCGCTGCATCCCTCTGCTAAGGGTGTTCGGCATCTTGTGCTTCCTTGCGTACGGATGGCAGCTGCGAATGACTTAAGTTTATTTTCTGGTGCTTTCACTTCCAGAGACAGTTGCAAGCACTGTGTAACTGCCTCGAGGGTGCTTGACAGATTTAACACAACGTGATGCGATCATCCCCTTGCGTGGAGTGAGTTTTTTCGACCCCGCAAAACATTATCTACACGACCAGCATTCATGGAGGAGGGGGGGAGGNCTCACCGGACCAGGCTCTCACATCACCAAGCGCGAAGCGCCGTGAGGTATTCGGCGAGTCGCATGAAGGGTGCGCTGCATCCTGCTAAGGGTGTTCGGCATCTTGTGCTTACTTCCTTGCGTACGGATGACAGCTGCGTATGACTTGATATGTTTTAGGGTGCTTTCACTTTCAGAATAAGCACTGTGTAACTGCCTCGAGGGTGCTTGACCATTTTAACATAACATGGTGCGATCATCCCTCTTTCACGGAGTGAGGGTTCTCCACCCTGCACAACATGATCTACTCGACCACCATTATGGTTACCGCCAAAAAGAGAAAGAAGTACAATGTAGGAGAGGACGGAGCAGCGGTGACATGTAGGAATGATATATTGCGCGCCGCGGCTTGGTTGAAAAAAAAAAAGATGGAGACAGGGGACTAGACACAGCAAACAGAAACAGAGACGACACGTTATCTTTGCCACAACGACACTGTGCGTAGTGCACGACACAAAGCCGTTCGGGATAGACAAGACAGCCCCCAGGCGAAACGCACATAAGCTTCAGCAGATCGTACCGAAGGTGATGTTTTTACAATCCCAAAGGACATCACTCCAGGTGTGTGTGCCAAAAATCCGCAGACGGCAGGAGAAAACATGCCGCCCAACAATGTAGAGAGGGCGGAGACATTGAATAATGTAGGGGGGGCTTGCTTGCCCCCGGCCCAGCAGCAGCCCGACTCCGCAGACCCAACGTGACCTCACTGCGTCTACAAAAAATTCCCGCGAAGTCAAGGTATTGCTGTAGCGTGCAACGGTGCGCTTCGGGTAACGCGTGTCCTTCTAAGTGCACCACACCCGCACCTCGAACCTGGTGACGTTGTTGAGGTTGATGCTGCCCGAGACGTTGACGGCGCTCCGCTCGAAGAAATCCAGCGCCTTGCCTAGGAACATGTGCATCTGTAGCGCCAGGCGTGCGATTGCCNGGGGGGGGGGGGGGGGGGGGGGGGGGGGGGGGGGGGGGGGGGGGGGGCGTACTAATGTTTTGAGTTGCCATAGTTTTTAGATCACCAATCACGCGTCTCAAGGGAGGACGGAGCATTGTTCCCATAAGATCGATCACCGTTGGCCGAACGTCCCTTCCTACTATGCCAAAGGTGCCTCACGATGTTTTCCCTATCCTGTCTAATACCACCTTTCAGGGGGGGCAGGCCAATATTACCCGTAGGTGAGCGGGGGGGGGAGTCAGCCGCAATTACTGCCACAAAAAACGGAGTGATCAGAGAGGCAACCGTCGCAAAGGATGAGAGAGAGGGAAAATAGTGGCAATTTGTGAGGGTATCGAGTGAAGGTCCAGTTTGCTGTGAAAGACAATATCCACGACGTTATGCGTATAACTGCGCGTGAGAAGACGCACCAGGCCAACAATCCCCGCAAAATCGTTCCCACCACAAACGAATTCTAAATCGGCACGAAATAGATACAGGCGTCTGCCCCCCGATAGCATGTTGAAAGTTGCGTACAGCTGATTCATGGCCTTTCGTTATCCGTACCATGCAATATGCGAACACCAGATAGTTTTCGAGACCGCTACACCCACCCTACGTAGTCCCGACGTTTGGGTTAAAGCTTGTTGACAAATCAGTTCTCCAGTCGACCGCATACTCGACGCCGCAGTGCATCTGTGGGACTTCCTTCCTTATTACTGGAGGCCTCATCCAAATCCGATCCCGACACCACCCTCACATTTAATGGTCTGCGGCCGAGAGCAGTGATACAGCAGCACCAATAAAAAACACAACCTCTATGCAAACGCTACACAAGAACACCCAGTATTTCGCAATGGAGGGACGAGCATATCCCTCCGACGGGCACAGGCCAACACAAACACTCGGGAAAAAACACGAAAACCAACAGAAACACCCCCACCTGCCCGCACAAGGACGAGTCGTGCGTCTTGCTCATCCTCTGCGCCAGCTTGTTGCAGAGCCGGATGAGGGGATACCTCCCGTTATTCACGGGGACAAGCCTCGACAGCCTCTCCGAGTTCGGCTCGACCCACGCCGACCAGAACTCCTTGCACGCTGTTCTTCCCTGAACGCGAGCAAAACAGCGGAGCGCGGGGACGCGTGAGTCGAAAAGCGCCCACTCAAAGGCCGGCATTGTTTGTATGAATTAATACACAATGACCCATCACCAGCTCCCCGCGCTCGTTCGGAGTAGTCCCCTCTCGCGCGCCCACACGCCCACGCAGCATCCGCCGGCTTCTGGGAAAATTACGCACTGCCACAAGTATTTCCTGCTCTGCTGGGCTCATCAAATCCAGTTCGAGTTCCGACCCGACCCGAGCTTTGACGTGCCTCGACAGAGGCTACGCCGCCACTCAACATGAGTTGAAGATCACAAGCAAGAGGGGAAAGCGAATGCGCAACGGAATAGAGTAATGCATCTTGGTAAACGTAAATAGCGCTCGACATCCACTCTTGCCTGCTCCACTACATGACTCCATGACTCCATGACTCCATGACTCCCAGAGTTGATGGCCAAAGGTTCTTAGGAAACACGGAAGGCAAACCAAAACAGGAGCCGTTCCCCACTCAACCCACTAATGAATACGTCTTATTGCCTGCGACTCCATGAAGTCTTCGAGCAGCAGCAGCGGCAGCGCGGTGAGAACTTGGTTGGTGCTCCTGCTGCCGCCGCCGTCGCTCTCGTCGAGGCCGGCCTCGTTAGCCACAAACGCCAGGGCGAGGGACAGGATTCCCATAGGCTCCGCCATCGGCTCCGATCCCGACAACGCCGCCGCGCCCCCCGGTCCCGCCGCCGCCTTTCTTCCTCCTTTCCCAACACGCCCGCCGCCGACATCCAGACCCGCCAGCGCCAACCCCGCCTCGTGCATGCAGTGTCGAAACGCCACCTGGATCTCCCCCGAAACCCTCTCGTCAAGGCACCGCCTGCCACCGCCGTCTTTGCCGGCGCCACCGCCGGCGCCGCCGCCAGTGCCGCCTTCACTGACGGCGCCCTCTCGCAGGACGGGCCCCGCGAGCTCCTCGAACTTGGCCAGGTCGAGGTAGGTCGGCAGGCTCGGGTTGCTGCCGCAGGCCTTGATGGCCGGGAGGAGGTGCACCAGCGCGTTGTCGAGCTCGTTCGGGATGGGGTCGTCTTCGGCTTCCTCTTGGGCGTGGGCATCGCCGCTGACGTCCATCGTTTTTATCGTCCCTTGATTTTACCGACCGAGCGACTGCTGCTGCTGCTCCTGCTGCTGCCGCTGAACAGCGCTGCCGGCGGCCTGCTTGGATTGTTGGAATTTTTTATAAGTGCCGGGGTGAGGTTGTCGTTTGGTCGGGTCGCGGGGCGAAGAGCAAGAGTCAACCAAGAGGTGGGCACGGCGTACGAGCGCCGTGCTTGCTTTTGGGAGCAAACCACGTGTCCGGAGAACGGATAAGTCGACTTGGTAGCACAAGTCTGTTGCAACACTCCTACGGTGCTTTAAGTGGGTGCTGCAAACATGCGGCGGCGCCACCATGCCGTCCGAATGGCTTGGCCCACGAACCCAGGTGATAGGAAACTGCTGTATGGCAACGGCGGGGCCCGCATGCTTCAACGAACAAGTAAATAGCACCTCCACAAAACCGGTGCTACGTTCATTGGAGACGTGTACAGCAACAGGAAACACTGTACTATGTACTACAAGTACCGTAATGTAGGCATACATACAAGCAAGCAGTTTTTTTTTGTTGCCACAGCACAGTCGGCAAAATTGAAAGCGTTGTACAGCAGTAGTGGTGACCCATAATGTACTGCTGTTGGTCTTTCTGCGACCCGTGAGTGGCCTATGAACTGGACGTTACCCGGACAGCGAGAAGCGCGCGCCATGGAAGCAACAATCAGACGAGGTATGGGGTGAAGTGCCACGGCGCCCGACCCACACACGATCCGGACGGGGGCGGCCGCTCTTATTGCTGTAGCTTCGCGCACAACCGGCTGAGTGCGACGTGCAGCAGCAGAGGTCGCTGCAGCAATTGTCGGCCTCTTCTTCGCTTGGCGGAATGGTGAAACGAGAGGGAACGTCCCGAAGGACAACCATGATACCACCGTTCACCGATGGTTCTAAGTCCTCATACACCGCACAGCATGCTGGCAGTACCGCAGTCGCCGCCGAGTGCACTTCAGGAGGCTTGTCCAGCATGCCAGAGAGTTGTTGAAAGATTCGCCGCCATATTTGTCAAGAATTACGCAAGGTGGACGAGACACACGGATCCTATTGTTGAACCAAGCACCACACTCGTGACACACACCTTGTCGATGCAGTAGCTCGTAGGGTGGCCGTGTGCAATGCAGCAGCGGTGCGCAGCTATGGTAGTAAGTGTGAGGTGCTCCGTTCCCGTGAGGGGCTCTACGGTCGGCACGGAAAAAAACTGGTGGCTGAAAAAGCGCATCTGTCGACCCCCCCAGCCCCCCACGTGACGACGTGCGACGACACAGGTCACTTTACACCGCACAGCACCGGGGCCTGGGGCTGTGAATCACTAACTATATTGCGATACGTAGAGATTGTGCGTGCCTCATTCGTAGCCCGGGCTGCTACAGGTGTTATCACATCTGCTATAGGCGAAAGGTGGCGGGAGGATAAGAGCGGAAGGAGGGGCCTTGAAAGGTGCTACTTCTACAAGAACGTGCCCAGGGCCACACCGGAGCCAGGCCAGGAGAGCACAACCAAGCGCTACCCTCTGGCTGACCTTTCCTTCCTGCAGCACACACAGGGAAGGAATCATCGTCGCGGTCTCGGCACCTGTTGTTGGTCGTGGGTACATCTAGACGGGCTAGCCTGCCCTGTTCGCCCACCACGGAGTATTCTACGAACGACCAGCGCGTGTCATCCGCAACCTCAACTCGTCGGCGTACAGACACCTCGGCACTGCGTTTCTTGCGAACTCACGACCTAGCCAGATGAACACGCCGATGAGGGCCAGGAGAAGAGGAGGGCGCCGCGTGGCCGGCGTCTGCCGTTGCGTCGCCCTCGCGGCAGTCACTGCAAGAACGCAGGCCCTCCTCACGTGCGGCAGCACTGCCACTGCATGGTCGCCGTCTTGCAGTGGCAGTGAGCGGTCAGCCATCACGACGACCACCACCACCACCGCGGTGATGCATGATCCCTCGCCGCACGGCCGGGTGCGCAGAACAGGCGGGCGCAGCAGCTGGGGACAACGAGCAAGTAGCCAGAGTTCGAGACCAACAGCAGCAAGGGTATCGACCTCCCTGTCGGCGGCGTCCGGCAGCAGCAGCAGCAGCGGGATCAATGCCGGCGACGGAGACTCCGGCGAGGGCGGCGGCGGCGGCGGCGGTGTCGGGGGAGTGTGGGCCGTGCAGGACGAGGAGGACTGGGAGTTCGAGGAGGAGGTCCAGCGGCTCGAGGAGAGGCTGGAAAACGCCGTCAAGAACGAGGACTATAAGGGGGCCACCAAGTGCAGGGACGAGCTCTACAGGTGTGATGTGTATACGGTAGAATAAGTCTCTCCTGCTAAGATTGCATTGACCGCTCCAACCTCTTCCCCAATGCATGCATACAGGAAGGGTCCGTGTGTGTTTCCTTTGACAACACCGGTCTCGATGAGGGGCTGGCCGATGAAACGACCCTCCTTCTTAGTAGGACATATCCCGCAAGAACGATGTTCGTGTGTGTGGTATCATGCGTCTATCGTGACCTTTCTCGCATTTCCACAGCAGTGCTGACCGGCTTGATCTGACAAGGGTAAGACCATGTCTTGCGTACATCTGGTCTTGGTTACCTACCCTCTACGCATCCGTTATTCATTTTGTGATGTGTGAGTGTGCAGCACCCCGGTTGTGTTGTTCCTGCCGGAACACACAACACGCGGGCTTTAATATGAACTATGGCAGGGAGTGACCCGCCCCAGGGTGTAGACTCGGGTCTGAACAGTATGGCACGTGATCTGCCTTGTCGCAGTGGTTTCCCAGGGGAGGCCCTCTCGCGAAATTTGGAATGTAGGACGGGCCCGGCACGCTCGCCTGTATGATGTCGGTTACACATGGCATCGTAGCCGCTGTAGGATGTACATCATAGCGGCCCAAGGGCCACCATTGCCGTTGTTTTTTCTTCTCAGTTGACACAAAAACGCCGCGTCTCCCGCTTGCCCTGTGTGTTCTGGTTTTGTTCAGGATTCACATGGACGAGACGTCCGCCGTCCTGTCCACCAACTCGGCGTTCTACGCAGCTTTCACGGCAAAGGTATGGCGAATTCCGTATATGGCAGGTACGAGTTTGTACGGCATGGTCGTTGGTGGGCTGGAAAACGCTTGAAAATATGTAAGTGTGGATTCATGAGCATACCTTCACGTGCCAAATGTGTTATTGAGCGGGACGCACGGTCATTAAGAGCTTTTGCGTTCTCGCGTGTGCGAAGGAAGACGCATTGGTTTCGGTAATCGCGCGTTTCGAAGTAGGGCTCGGCTCCCTAAGGATAGCGGTTTTTTAATTTTACTTGAGGACGGCGGCACCGGTAAAAATGTTGTCTGGCGGGGCTAGAGGGATTTTACACACAAATTGCATGGGGGGCACACATTCAGCATGGCATGGCTGGTGTCCCTCCCTCCCTTACCTGGGCCCTTAGCACCGTTGATGAAGTTTGACACCGAGCTCCTCAGTCCCTTTGTATGAGTATGAGGGACCCTGCAGTCGGCCTGCTGGCTCCTCTCCGACGGACGCATCAAATGTCCATGGAGCCAGCCACACGGCCCGCGACAGACACCTGAACGCCGCCGGCGTTTGGCTGGCTCCATGCAAAGTTCATGAGTCCGTCAAAGGAGGGCCAGCAGGTCGATTGTAGGGCCACTGATCACGCTCATAAATAAGGAACTGAGGAGCTCGGTGTCAATGTTAATCAATGGTGCTAAGGGCCGGGCCTGGGAGGGGATGTGGCGCCAGCCGTGCCGCTGGTGTGTGCGTGCCCCAAATTCAACCAACCGATGATGTTGGTCCCGCACTTCGGCGTCGGCTGCAGTTACGGCGGTCCACCGCCGCCGCCGATATGTCGCCGGCGGAGCCGGCGAGATTCGGCCCGGGTGTGCGGAGCCAGCATATGGGCCGTGTCGCGGGGCCACGCGGGCGGCTGGCAAGAAGCAGGGGGGCGGGCGGAACCTGATGCATTCGTGCCGAGTTTTGTCCCTTTTTCGGTCCAGTGCAACAGCAACTGCCAGGAGTTCGGCCATATCCAGCGGAACTAATCGATAGGACTTTTTCCTCGTCTTGTGGCATGCGGAAGTGTGTCTTTCTTGCTCTCTGTTTGCCACTACTGCTGTTGAGGTCTAAAGTGCGGGCTGGCCGCTCTTGCCCAAACGTGATGACAGTGTGTGTTTCGAACGTTGGTCCAGCCAGCCAAGCCTAGAAGGGTCTCATGGTTTCCCTGCAGATTCTTAAACCGTTTGGAGGAAAACCACGGAAGCACCGCCCTCGCGACTCTCGAATGCTGAAAAGGGGTGGTGTTTGACGGGATGGAATTGCGTTTTACTTTATTTTCCTGCTTGCAATATGGCATTCAGGGGTACCCGCAACGGCTGAAAGTGAGGCCCATGCTTGGACCTGAAGAGTCTTCTCCTTGCCAACTTGGTGGTTTTCTATACTGTATGGCCGCAAGGCGTGTCCAGCCGACCTTGATGTAGTCTTCTCCCACTGCCATGGTTGCCCATCTTCAATCGGGGTGTGCTTTTGCATATCAATGACTCTCTCGTGTGAGTGGCTTGCTACCTGTCTCGTCGCTCCCCCGCCCTTACCGCAGCCCTCTACCCCCGGCATGCGGCCTCTCGCTTCTCGCTTTTCTCGCAAACCCCATCCCGTCACCATGTATCGTCCGTACATGTGCTCTCCGCTGTGTGTTAAAACCATGCTTTGACACGACCACCACGTGTATGTACGCTTGCTAACCCCTCGCCGTGTGTGAAAACTATGCTTTGACGCGACACATAAACACAGGACGCAGATCGCATGGCGTCCCTCTGGATGCCCAGCAACGACGTGATGTGCATCCACCCGGGGGACGAGCCGGTGCTGGGCCAGCAGGCGGTCGACCGGTCGTGGCGGTCCCTCTTCCGTTCTGGGGACGGCCGCTTCTCCAGCAGCGTCATCAAGGTACGAAGTACGATCGAATAGTTTGTTGCTTGCTCCGTCCCATCGTTCCGTTGTTCCGAGACGCACGCAAATGCTCCGTTTCGTCCAAGGGTCGCTTGGCCAACGAGCGAAGCGAATGAGAGTGAGTGAAGCCAAACCGGAATCGACTGCGACATTCTTCCAGTGTATGCGCAGGGACTTCGTTGTGTTAGTGTCCACACGTATGTGGAGTAGCGTATCGCAAAACACAGCTGCCTTCGGGAGCCCTTTTCTGGTTCCTCGACGTACATGTGCCTTGCTGTATTTTTCATCTCCTGTCGCTCCCCCCTGACTCCTACGACCCCCGCGCACTCTTCCGCTGGCCCCTTTTCTCGCGATTTTCTTGTTTTTTGTTCGTTTGATGTTTTCGCCCGTGGCCCCGCCTTGCTTGCCCTTACCCCCCAACCCTTCTAAATAGCCCACGGACGTAAGGATAAGGGTTAGGGGAACCACGGCGATCGTGCAGTGCAACGAGGAGGTCACCTCCAGGCAGAACGCGGCGGCGGCGGCGGCGGCAACGGACCCTACGTTGCGATCTTTCTCTCCCGCGCCGTCCGCGCTGAGCTCGTTCGGTTCGTCTTCTAAGGCCGCCGACGACGACGGCAGCAGCAGCTTCGGCGATAACCCAAAGCACAAGGACCCGGCCGCCTGGCTCGCCCACGTCATTTCCGAGAACCCTTACGAGCCCGGCTCGGAGAAGTCCATCGTGAGCAACCCCACAACGCCCGAGGACAGGGCCAGGATCAAGAAGGCGGTGGGCAAGCACGGGGCGGCGAGCATCAAGAAGGCCGTCGCCGCGGCGTTCGCCCAGTCCGACGAGGAGACGAGGCTTGCCAACCTGGCCAAGCGGAGCAAGAAGGGGGGAGCTTTCTTGAGCGGGGGCCGGGGCGGCTCCGAGAGGAGGAGCAAGGTTAAGCCGCGCGTGCTCAACGTGACCAACATCTACCGGAAGGCTGGGGGGAAGTGAGTGTGGGGTCTATTTGTTTGGGTGTGCGTGCGTGTGTGTGTTGTGTGTTTTGGGGGGGTCGTGCGTGCGCTTTTGTTGTGAATGCACGGCGTGGCCAAGGGGAGTCGCGGGCGCTGCTGTGGAGGGCGGTGAGAGAGCGCGATGAATTGCTCACAACCCGGTAGGCGAAGATGAGTCCGATCAGCGAGAAGCTATGTCTTCTGGTGCATGCTCCGTGTATACAGATATGACATGCTGAATCAGCCACAACGACAGATGCGACAGCAAAGGACCGAAAATAGACAGTACTTGTAATTTGTTATGGGAATCATCATGACGAATTCCAAACAAGGTACGTATAGACAACAGCTTGCTAGTCGGGAGCCTGACGATGGGAACGTTTTTTAGCAGCTTCGTTTCTTTCTTTTCTTTTCTCCAGCACTTTCCGTGCAGCTCCGTCAAACCTCTGCCACCGGTGTGCCTCTAAACCCTGTTTTCTCGTGGCTGTTTCCCTGAAAGCAATCGATGCTACTCATCCACGGACGAAATGCATCGAATCCATGAAGGGCATGGCCTTGTCTCGTTTATGTTCGTTCGTGTTTTCAACCCTTAATCCGATGGCCCCGGTGCCCAAAAATTAACCCACGGGATCGTGTGTGTCGCCACTGGCCGCTGCTGTGTCGCTCTGGCTGCCTCGTCCCGCCCCCGCGTGTGTGTGACAGGTGGCTTATGGTCCACCACCACGCGAGTCTGCCACCGATGGGCAAGTCGGGCAGCAGCAGGAGGGTTGCGATGGGGATCGACGGCTTGAAAGATGTGAGAGCGGGAGCTGTTGTGGTTGTTGTTGTTGTTGTTGCTCGTGCAGTCGTTGTTGTCGTAGTCGTTGCTGCTGCTGCTGCTTCTGCTGCTGCTACCGACGATATTGTTCCTCCATCGCGTGTATTTCCCGCTGTGTTCCCTTTTCGTCCAACACGTATGCACCCATCGCTTGTTGTTGCCCCCCTCCCTTCTCGCTCCCGCCGAATGCTACCTACCGATTTTGACAACCAAAAATAGGCCCTGGAGGGCATGCCTCGCATTATCAACCTGTCGGACCAGGGCGGCGGCTTCGGCGGGGGTGGCGGCAGCGGCAAGGATAACAGGCTAGAAGAGATGCTGGAGGCGTTACGTAACCGTCTTCCGGGCGGTCTTCCTGGCGGTATCGGCGGAACGGGGGCGGGAAGGTCCGTGGGAGCGGGGCGTGGGGGATTGAACTCATGCCCGTGCATGCCGTAGTCGACAGACCGTTGATCTTGCATGCCGTAGCGGTTGGACGATTGACCACGCGCGTCCGCAAGAAGACAGATCTTTGTTCCCGCTGAAACGATCATCACTGATGGCCAATCGTTCGTTGCTACTTTGCCAATGGTGTCTCGAACACGTTTTCCCCACCCCATATCCATCCTAACGACATCGCTTTGTAGGGAGGTGGATGACGGTGGGGGGTAGTTTGTCGCTAATACCTCTTTGTTGTTTGTATCGAGGAGGGGTGTGATGCTGGGGGGAAAGACTAAATATGTTCATTAGGAGGAGTCGGTCCAGTCAAGGGTAAGGCGACGCTGTTGTTTCTCTGGTGCTTGTGTGCAGCATAGAAAAGTGACATTTTTATCATCTTCTCCAGCAGAAAAGGAGCAAGAGCAGGGGTGGAACGACCACCAAGAAGGCGTTACCGGGGAGCGAAGTTGAACTATCAAAGCACACATCCTCACGATTGAAACACCAGCATCTGCTAGCTGTCGAAGAACACGGTTTGAAGCGACCAAGCCTTTTTTTTTGTTTTTCGTTGTTTTTGTTCTACTTTCTACGCGCCTGGTGTTCTGTTGACGCGTTTTTTTGGTTATTTTTCGTTTGCGAAATGTGTGCCCATTCTCGAATCAGATCATTAGCATCAACAAGCACGGGATGTAGTCAAGACGACCTCCCTTGTGTTGATTCAAGATTACCCGGTGGCAATAAAGGCCCAAGATGTAGATCGTGTGTCTGTTTGTTGCTTTTATTTATTTTTTTTGCGTTCTTCGGGACAAACACACGACGCAGACAACATGACTCTATCAGGCGGAATGGTAATCATCGGCGGTGACGACGTTGCTTTTATTTTTTGTTTTGATTGTCTTCTTCGGTACAAACGCACGACGCACGAACAACCACACACGTGGACACAGGACGCCATCGGGCGGAATGATCATTATCGGTGGTGGGGACGACGACGAGGACGACGACGAAGACGACGATGACGACGAAGAGGAAGAGGAGGACGAAGATGATGATGATGAGGACGAGGACGAGGACGAGGACGATGATGCCGATGTAACGAGTAGCAGCAGCAGCAGCAGCAGATCGGAAGGCAAGGGCTCGCGCTGGAGAAGGGAAGAGCTTCCCCTTACCGAAGACCTCACCAAGAAGACTATCCAGGTGTGTAGCGCTGACTCGGTCTCTTGCACGTTTGACAAGAAATGTTGTCGACCTCGCCGACCAATGAGTAGGACGGAGGCGGAGCTGTGACTAAACTGTATGTAGGTAGGTCTCTGTAAATTTCCCAAATGTTTAGGCTTTTGCCCCGTGGGCGATTGCCTGGTGTTTTTGTGGTCGATTTTGGTTGTAACATAGAGTGGAAGAAAAGTTGGTGCATATATATTTCGAAAACAATTAGGGATGCGGGTTACGGCGTTTCCCGGCCGGTACGTACCCGTAATTGCGGGAAATCAACAACATGTGCGTACGCGTAATTACGGCAGCATACCGGGGACGAAATCTCGTCGTCCCCGGGGTGTTGAACACCGTATGGGGTGTTAACCACCTTATGGGTGATAAACACCGTAGAACTAGGACACAAAGGCGATTACACCAGGTCGAGATCAGGGATTCAGGTTTGGTTGACATGAGTCTTCCATGTGTACACGCGTATACGTGTATACTGCGTGCGGTAGACATGCTTCTGTTCTTCAAGCTTCAAACTGCTCCCACTTGCAGCAGCGGTAAGTGATAGTCGGGATAATATTTAAGTGTACTAAATCTGTCGGGGGTCGCCCCGTTGCCCCAAATAAATCCCAAACCCCCAAGTTACCGCAATAGTTGCGTGGGATGGGACTAGTTACGTACGTCTGGAAGGTGTTACGGGTAATAACGGGTACCGCCGTACCCCGCATCCATGAAAAATATCGCCTACGGAGGACAAGCCTACAGATGTTGGTGACCTCGCCGACCAGTGAAAAAATGACGCGAAGGCTCCGGAAACAAAGAAAAAAATACATGCCAGGATGAGCGCAGAGAAGTGTTTCTTTTTGGACTCCGGCGCAGTCTTTCACTGCCCCGAAACCCCGCAGAGGCGAGGTCGTCGCAAACAAGACTGTCGTCTCCCGGACCCCCCCCCCAGCTTCTGCGGCGCGTGCATGCCTTGTTTTTCTTTTCGCGAGATCGGCTTTTCTGCAGAATCTCCTATCTCCCCCCCTCTCCACAACCAATACAACGGGCGCCCGCATACTATGAATAAGACGAATGCACTTGGAGGACGTTGGAATTTTTGTGGAATATGTGTCAGCACTGTTCTCCCTCAAGAGTAGCACCGCCGTGCCTCCCCGCCGCTCGATCTCCATGATATTTTTGTGTGCTTTGAATGCATAAACTTATCACCGTGCAACGTGATAATTCCCGTTGAATGGATTCGAACATGCTGAAATAGCTACAGCAGTTAGGTATCACAGCCGCAGTATTTTACCTGTTCGATGGATGTGTGCTAAACTAAAGCGGTCTCGCAACTCGAGGTGTGCGCGAGAAAAGGCCTACTGGCAGGCGGCGGGACTATGATAAGTGTATCGCCACTTTGGATCATGCAAGGACACGTGTCGGCTGTTTGGACGCACGTGCTTACTTTTCGACAAGCGTTTGGTCACCCCTGGACGAGTGATCCGTGTTTTATGTCCAAGTACCTGATGTATAAGTGTATTGGCCCGCTGCTTGTCTGGAGGATGCGAAAACCGCAATCATTCTGGGGCGGGATTCAATGGCATCGTCGCAGCCCTGAATTCCATTTGTTTGGAGAGACGAAACAAATTGATACAGTATTCCAATCCGTGGATGATAAATCCAAGATAGCTCATATGCATAGCGACGAAGTAGAAGGTGCTGACGTCCTTCTGGTGGTCTTGTGAAATTTTCGGAGCAGATCCCCAAATGTTCACAGACCATTTGTTACACTCATAAGTAGCCGGCACTTTTTTGTTTTGTTGTCTTCACAATCAATCCATCAAAACTTGGCCCGGTGGTGGTTGGGTTTCACGTCCTTTTTATGTTTGTATTTATTTTGTGCGGATCTGCCATGCCAGACGTTGCGGACCCTGGTGGAGATCAAGGTGCTGGAGAAGGACGAGCAGCGCCGCCTGGTGACGGACGTGATCAAGCACGCCGCGGACGACGAGGCCAGCGCTGTCGAGGTACGTGAATCTTCAGATTTATTCTTCCACACGCGAACGACCCGGTGGGCGCCCGCGAGAAGAGAGCTCTTTTTGATGTGCCTAGACGATACTGTCAAAGACGTGGAAAAGGGTGCTGACGACTAGCTCCTGACATGCCGTGCGTGAATTATCCTGTTTTCTCCCACACACGGACGGCCATGTGCGCGCGCACGAGAAGAGAGCTCTTTATGGTATGCGTAGACGATTTGTTTTTTGCCAAAGACGGCACTCTCTCCCTGACATCCCATGTGTGATATCCCCCCCCCACCAGCCCCACCCGGTGTTTTGCCATCGGGGTTGGGTTTTCGTCGCTTGGCAACGACGTTGTAAAACAAGCCGCCCCCCCCCCCCCGCGGTGTTTGCCATCGAGGTTGGGTTTTCGTCGCATGGCCACGACCTAATAAAACAAGCCGCCCCACCGGAAAAACAAGCCGCCGCCCCCGGTGTTTGCCATCGGGATTGGGTTTTCGTCGCTTGGCAACGACGTTGTAAAACAAGCCAATTCACTTCGTGAACTCGGCAACCAGGTTACCGTTTTTTTTTTTTTCCTCCGTTTATTTTTTTTGGGCGGTAACCATAATGATGGTTGAGTAGATCATGTTGTGCGGGGTGAACCCTCACTCCGCGCAAGGGGGATGATCGCACCACGTTGTGTTAAAATGGTCAAGCACCCTCGAGGCAGTTACACAGTGCTTACAACTGTCTCTGGAAGTGAAAGCACCAGAAAATAAATTAATTCATACGCAGCTGTCATCCGTACGCAAGGAAGTAAGCACAAGATGCCGAACACCCTTAGCAGGATGCAGCGCACCCTTCATGCGACTCGCCGAATATCTCACGGCGCTTCGCGCTTGGTGATGTGAGAGCCTGGTCCGGTGAGAACCCGGCGTGCTCCGTCCCGGCTTTGTAGGGATGCGAGGTCAATGGTCTAACGACTACGGCATGCACGACTATGAGTACACCCCCCACCAGCGGTAAATGGTCTAACCGCTAAGGCATGCGGAACATGAGTACTCCCCCCTCCCCCCCCCGCCGACGAACGATCATGATAGGTGGCGTACGAGCTGTTGCTAGCGCATACTAACGAGGACCTGGAGGACACAGACACTCTCGCTGAGTTTGTGGACCAATGCAAGGTGAGAGAGGCATGGGGAAGGGAAGACAAGCCATCATGTTCAGGAGGGGGCCATACGGCCAAGTGGAGAGAGACGCGTTTTTTTTGTGGCCTTTTTTTTGTGTGTGTTTTCCGTCTTCGTCGTTGCCACCTCGCTCGAAAGAGCTTCCCGCTGCTCGAAAGAGATGGATCAGGAGTGTGAATGGAAGTGGTCGACTCGAGATGTTTAGCAAACCTCCTATGTACCCACCAGCGTTGGCGTGACACTCGCTGCTCGTTCGTCGTTTTGCGTGTGTGTGCTACAACAGGTTATAGCGTCGTCATTGTTTGAGGAGGACAAGCGAAGGAAGAAGCGGCGGTGGCGTTAGTGCTGTTGATGGTCAACGAAACAGCAACACAAGATAGGAACTAAGAACGGAGCTAGAAGAACACAAGACCGCGGCTTCCGCGTGTGCGAGGGGAAGGATTAGTGATGGTTCAAATAATTGATGAGCCGCAAATCACTCGGAAAACGAAGCCGATATTACACCGAGACGACACATGCGAGCTAATAGCAGCGTCGGAGTTTAGCTGTGTTGCCTGCCACCTGTGAGCCAAGCGTGCCTTGCTACATCTCGGGATGATGTTGGTAGCACCGACCTCCTTTCGGGCCAGGGAGAGCGAAACGAGCAAGACAGCATAGCAGCGCATGGAGGACGGTGACACCCCCCCTGTACGTTCTCCTCCGCGCTTCCCCCCTGCTTCGGGGCCAAGCAGAGTGGTACCAGTGAGTAGGGGCCGAAAGAGTCACCAAGTAGCGGGCGCGTGAGGTCGAAGCGCTTGTACGTGCTGATCAGCTCCGTGTGTGGGACGCGAGGTGTCTCGAATCACCCGAATTATGCCGCTACTGGTCTGCTCCTTTCCCTACTGTTGCCTGGATGAGTGGTCGTGTTATTGACCACAAGAAGCTACTTGTGCCTTGGATTATTAGGATTTTATTGGTCCAAGCCCGGCATACATTTGTGCGGAGAAGGGGTGCCCGCGGTGGCTACCACCACCATGCGCGCCAACTACAACGCATGTAGGTTTGGTTTCCCTTACATGTATTTTTTGCATGTCCGTCCATGCTCGTTGAAAGGTGATCACACGCCAGGACACTGATTGGATGGCGGGAGGGCAGCAGGCCGCAGTGACACCTTGATTCAGTCATTCCTCCGCATCTCTTGAACAGTTTGTGTTTTGGCTGTTGATGACGCTAATCGAGACGTCGTGTTTTCTTCCTCGCCTGTTGATTGAAGGCGCAGGAATAGTTACCGATTGGAAGCACGGTGTTGACTTTTCACACGGACAAACACTGCTGTGCGAAAGGAAAGAGAACTAGAAATGCCTTGAATGCCGAAGCACACTTGGTTGGCAGTCACCCCGTACCTTTGTTTTCGTGTTTTCCGACGTGTGTTCTTGGGGGACAGGCTCCGAAACATGTTTGGGACCATGACAGCACGTAGACACAGTACATGGAGCAGACGAAGGATCAACAGTTTCAACGTCATCGAACCTTGCCCCTGCAACCAGCCGACAGCGCCCGCGTAACATATCGACGCTGGAGTGGGCGTGCGTGGGGCAAGCGGGGGGCCAACTCGGAGGGGGGGCCTTGATGGATTGTCCTCCCTTCCACCCCCGTCCTTTCTCGCAATAGATTTCATGATCCAGTTGTCGTTCGTTGGTTTTGCAGCTGTGCCAGCAGTTATTTGCCGGTTGGATTTCCGAAGCTATTCTCTACCTGGTACAATATCTTCTCTCTCCCGCGTGCGTCGTGCTTCCCTCGATCCGGCTTGCTTGAGAGAACAAAACTTGTACTCAACTCACGAAGAACGCACGCAAGCGCGAGAACCTGTTAATGCATCGTCGTCACAACCCGCCTGCAACATCGCGAAAACACACAAAACCAAAGCTCGATCGCCACCCGGAGCAAGGACAAAACAACGCAAGTAGGTCTTCAGGCAAAGAAAAGGCACGGTAGCCCTCTGGGCATCTTTCCCTCAGGGGATGCATTCTGCAGTGTTCCCGCGGCGGGGGGGCAATACTGCAATGTTTCCACATCCATTTACGTACTACACGCACATACGCACACCGGCAGCCAATTCTCGCGGGCAGGGTTGGTTGCAACCAGCGGCACACACCGAACGCTGGCTGCACACCGCACGCTGGCTGCACACGCCACGCAAGGGCAATGCACGCGCGTTCTACTGCCGCTGCCGCCTCTGCTGCAAAGGCCGAGAGATGAATACCTACAAAGTAGCATCTCAAATAGGTTTACAACACACCATGATATTACCGCATGGGACAACAATCCAAAACACGGGACAAAAAAAAAGACGAACATCGATCAAAAACATGTCGAAAAGGCAGTGTACCACCATCCGCGCTAAGACAAGGATAAGACACAGCACCTCGCACGTGTGGGTGCCACCACGTGTCGCGTTAATGCTTCGCACAGAAAAAAAAAAAGAAGGAAGCACGAAGGCCGGTGTGCACAAGTGCCACCGAGTGTCGGCCTTCCTTTCGGTTTGATCAAATGCAAGCCCTCAGCGACTGACACCAAGGTTGACCAAACTTTGCTTGTGATAATAGGAGTACACGCGCTGCTGTCCCCTCTCCCCACCCCCCCAACCAACCCCGTGCGCAATCACGGGGTTTCCTACCAAAACGCGCGAACGAGTGTGCTCGGCTTGCCTGCCTCTCCTTCAAACAAAGACGAAAACGAAACAAAAAAAAATGCCCGTTCGACCACAGCGAGCAGCATGGGAGCAGGTTCTGTACATGAAAGCTCTGATGCTGCCGCAGCTGTGCCGTCCTCTACCGATCTATACCCTACGTATATCCACGCGCAGCACACCAATTCTCCTGAACTCTCATCACCGCGTTGGCAGCGGGAAGTCGTCCTTGATCCAGTAAAACTGGTCCTGATCGTTTTCGGAAATGCACGAGGAGGTTCTTTCAACATCAGTCATTGGGCCGTGATCTGGATGGTATCCTGGTGTTACAATGTCGAGAAACGAGGGTCCGCAGCAAGTGGCTTGTCGTGGGGATCGCGACAGCGGAGGCGATTGCTCGTGTGGTCATGATCGTGGCTTTCATAACCCCCGTCCCCAACAGAAACGCTCAACGAAAATAACCACCGCGACGGCAGCATGCTTGCAATCAGAGTCAAACGTGGGCAGGACGTCCGCACAAATGCAGTCAACTACCATCGGCAGACGAAGCATACAAGACACGCGTGACCGAGGGGGACGGGGGGTAGGGGGACGGGGGGCAGAGACGCGAAACTACCCCGCCACAAATAGCGACAAAAGAAAGCAAAGCAGACAACAGCAGCAGCATCAGCAACCACCACAACAATGACAGCAGTACCGTACAATACCTGGTTGTGCATGATGTCCGTGATGTCTTGGAGTTTGAGGAGTCGTCTGTTCTGGCTTTGCGCCACGGAAAAGGACTCCTTGGCCATGAGAGACGTGAAAAGCTCCTGCACAACCAAAGGGAGGAAAGGGTGGGCATGGGCAGACACCAACACACAACAGCGCGCTGGGGCGTAAAAACAAAATCGGCAAAACAAACGCAATCATCATCTCCACACATGAAGAAATGCCCGACGTATTTCCGATTTCTCCGGCAGGAGACGGAAGATTGGGGCGGGCACACCCCGGTCGCCCCGGTGGTCTAGTGGGTAGCCTCGCAGCCTGCTAAGGGCCAGGTCATGGGTTCGAGTTCCGGTGGAGAGAGTCTTTTTCTCACTAAATAAATCCTGGTCTAGGATGAAAGCGACGCGCTGCAAAGCTCGTCTGTTAGTAAACCATAATCGACTTCGTAAGTCGCGAGGGAAGGGATTGCTATACCCTTCTCGCGATAAAAATACCTCAGGCATGAACCGCAGGAGGGGGTCCAACCCCCCCCTCCTATGTGACCCCGGTTGGGTCGTCTAGCTAGTAGAAGTGGAGGATAGGGGCCAGAGGAGCAGACGACAGAGTCCAATGATGGGAGACAAACAAAACAAAAACAAAAACGCCTCCCAAGCTCGGGCCATGCTGTGGCAAACCCGGGACGAACACACGTGCGCCGCAAGGCAGCCCTATCTACACACAAACGAGCAACAGTTGTGTCCAATGTTTTGAAGTGTCAACCGAAGGCTCTGCTGCTGCTGCTGCTGCTTCTGCTTCTGTTACATAGCTCTCTCGCTCCTACCATGGCCTTTCCAATGAGCGCCGTGGCCTCCTTGGTCACGCTCTGGACATCCTGATCTAGCTTGATTATCCTCCCGATCCGGCCTGAACGGCAAAAACAAATATACGCGGGGGGGTTTAGCTGGGCCGATGCTGATCAAGAGAGAGGCGCATCTGCAGGAAATTCGCGTCGCTGGTCCTCGCACGTTGGTTGCAGCATGCTGTTCAACGTGCGTACCCGATTTTGTCAACCTGGCCCTTGTCAGCTCAGAATTGTCACATGCCACGGACCCTTCCTGGGGTAAATTCGATCAGCCGAACACCTCATGTAGCGTTCCCCCCCACCGCCCCCCCCCCCGAACCCCCCTGAGGTAGAACATTCGTCAAGCCGAACACCTCAAAAACAGTGTTTCACGCCTGGGGCTACTTACTATACGCGAGCCTTGTCGGCAAAGAAACAACATCATCGTCCTCGATCACGGGTTCATGGTCGAAACACTTTGCTACTGCGTGATATCGCATGACTATACGAGTGAGTCACCATCTCTGCATTGCATTATCTACAACCGCAAAAAGCGCGGCAACTGACTCACCCATGGGACAAACTAGCTCGGTGGACTGGCCCTTCTCGTCGTTGGTGTAGAACTCCTCCTTTTTCACGACCGGCTGCGTCGAACGAGGCAGGCAGGAGGGAGAGAGAGAGAGAGAGAGAGAGAGAGAGAGAGAGAGAGAGAGAG